TCATTTCAAACGGGCCGGATCCGGCCCGCGGGCCGTAGTTTGCCCACGGCTGTCCTAGACCCTGGGAGCTTGGGCCTCCCCAACCTTTGCCCCTCTGCCCAGGCTGCTCCACAGCTAGAGGGTCCAGCTGTGACCACAGCAAACTCCCTTCCTCCTGTTCCCACCCACCTTCCTGTCTAGCTTTCCACTGCCTTCCTGTGTCAACATCTGGAGCTCCAGGCAGCGTTGCTTTGGATAAGCCCCTTGTCCTTGCTGAAGCTTTGTTTCATCTCTCAATCAGGGAGTGAACTATCTCCCCCACACAGTTGCCTTCCGCAGCGTACCCTCTACTACGAGAGTCCTCCTTCCTTCCACTGTGTCGGAGGTGGGCCACATGGGAGCCTTTCCTCAGGTCCCAAAGGGCACCCAAGGGGAAGGTGCAGGCACCATGCGGTTGGAAGAGGGATGGCAGCTGGGGGCTGGCCCTCGAGGTTGGGGCCCACACATACCCCCCAACAGACGTGGTAGCTTTCAAAGCCCTATGATGTCTGTGACCTTGTGCTCTTTACCTGTTCCCGAGCAATGTCCGTCCCCTTGACACAAGGGGAAACCGAGGCCAGGAAAATAAAGCCTCGTGCTGCAGGGGGACAGCCAGCTGGTGGCTAAGCTAAAAGTAGGACTCAGTGCCCCTCCATGACAGCCCCCAGCCTCCCAAAACCACAGCAGTGGCCCCTGAGCCTGAGGCCAGGCATAGGAATGCGGCAGCTCTCCATGCCTTCTCTCCCTTGCAGGTGATGTTGGTGAAGAACTTAGCGGTGTCCCAGGGCCTGGTGAATGGTGCCCGAGGGGTGGTGGTCGGCTTCGAGACTGAGGGGAGAGGTGAGTGATGGAGGTGCAGACCTACTGCTTGGGGCAACAGGGCCCAGGGTAAGTGTGAAGAGAAAGAGTCTAGGATGCAAAGGTGAGGCCTGCTTCTCACCTCTGAGCCCTGAAACAGGGCTGAAAAGCGGGACTTCTCCATGCCTCCCTCAGGGCTGCCCCAGGTACGGTTTCTATGTGGAGTCACCGAGGTCATCCGTGCTGAACGCTGGACGGTGCAGACCACTGGGGGCCGGCTCCTCAGCCGGCAGCAGCTGCCCCTCCAGCTGGCCTGGGCCATGTCCATCCACAAGAGCCAGGTGAGCAGCCAGTGCGGGGGGTGGGGCAGGGCAGGGCAGAGGGGGGACGAAATAGGCGAGGGGCAATTTGAGGGAGGCCTTAAAGGCTTTATGGGAGTTGAGCTTGCCCTGGAGGCAAAGTTGCAGACCAGTTGTAGGATAAACCTTTCTTGAGTGCATGTCCCACCCCATGCTCTTCCTTTCCGGGATCCATGTACTTGCCCCCGTCATCTCCTGCCCCGCCACTTTCTGAGCCACTACTGGACATGTTCACGTTAATACTCACAACACCTGTATGAAGTGCAGACTAATCATCACTCCTGTTTTACAGAGGAGGAAACCGAGGCTCAGAGCCGTTAAGTAACGTGTCCAAGGCCTCACAACGAGTGAGAGGCAGAGCCGGGTTCCTTTCCATGCCGGTCTGACCCAGGCCTGAGTTCTTTCCTTCCCCACCTACCCCTCTCGCTTATCCTGGGTGTATCTCCTGGAGCCCCTTCTGCTCAGATGCCCATCCAGGGTCAGCCTATCCCTCTGCCTTGAGAATCTCGGGGCTGGGCCAGGAGATCCAGGGGCAATAGCGGGGCTGGTGAGGTGGGTCCGGCTCTTGGGCACAAAGGACTTCAGGCAGAGCCGGCTCCATCTCTGTCTCTCCATCCCCAGGGCATGTCCCTGGATTGCGTGGAGATCTCCTTGGGCCGCGTGTTTGCCAGTGGCCAGGCCTACGTGGCCCTTTCCCGGGCCCGCAGCCTGCAGGGCCTGCGTGTGCTGGACTTTGACCCCACGGTGGTTCGCTGTGACCCCCGTGTGCTACGCTTCTATGCCACCCTGCGGCGGGGCAGTGGCCCCTGCCTGGTAAGAGGGAGTCACCCAGTGGTGGGCCAAGGGACCCTGGGTAGGGGTGGCAGAGCCTTCTCTGGCTCCATTGTGGACAGGGGCAGGAGGAGGAGATGCTGGCCCCAGGCTGTGCCCTGGAGGACAGCAGAAGCGTGTGTCTCAGGTTCTCTGGCTTCTATCTAGGAGTCCCCAGATGATGATGAGGCCGCCTCAGACCAGGAGAACGTGGATCCAAACCTGTGAGCCACAAAGAGAAGACAGAAGATGGCCTCCCGCTCCTCCCACTCCTGAGTGAGCTAGGACCCCAGGAGATAGCAGGGGAGGATGGTCAGTGCCCATTCTCCCGTTGTTAGGGTCTCTCAGCCTCCTGGCACGGGTACAGGGATAATGCTTCCCACCCGTTTGCCAGCTGTGCCTCAGTTTCTCCCCTTGCACTGGGTGAGCTGCTTCCAGGGTCAGGAATCGTCTTTCTGTGCCAGTGGGGAATGGGCCTGTGGTGGCATCTGGTGTTAGAGGACAGAGGGCTGGCCATGGGACCACCGTCATGAGGGCCGCCCGCTTTGGGCTGCAGAGGGAGAGGTGTTCCAGGGGCAGGAAGAGGCATGTGGGTCCTGTGGGACTCAGGCCGGTACAGGCCCCAAATGGAGAAGGGACCCTGAGGTAATTTCATAGCCAGGCCCAGCCTCGCACAGCCAGGACCAACACCCGCCTGAGCCTGACGTGAGGACACGCACAGCACACTGTGCGCCTGTCTCTTAAGCTGCTTTTTGGGGAAAGAAATAGTGAGTGAGGATTGAAATGGATGTTCTCCGGTTGAGTTTATTTATTTATTTATTTTAATAAGTATTGTTGAAAGTATTACA